AATAACCGAATAATAAATATAATAATTGATTGGGACGTAAAAACCATACATTGACTCTTTTACTTATCCCGTACTTTCTCTTTTTTCCAGACACTAACTTTTTTTTTTACTCATTCTCTACTTTCTTTTTTTTTTTAACTGTTCCCCTACTTTCTCTTTGTTTTTACAAGTCATCTACTTCCTCTTTGGGTTGTTTATTTTCATTATCCTCTACTTTCATTTTGTTTTAGACTTTATTCTTTTTTACTCATCCTCTACTTTCTCTTTGTTTTTACTCTCCCCGAATCCCTGAATGTACTTTCTCTTTGTTCCAGACACTCACTTTTTATTTTTACTCATTCTTTAGTTTCTCTTTGTTTTTACTCAGCCTCTACTTTCTCTTTGTTCAAGACGCTACCTTTTTTTAAATACTTTTTAACTCATCCTCTACTTTCTCTTTTTTAAACTCACCCTCTACTTTCTCTTTGTTTTTAATTCAGCCTCTATTTTGTCTTTGTTCCGGACACTAACTTTCAAAAAATCTTTTAAACTCATCATCTACTTTCTCTTTGCTTTTCCTCACTCTGTATGTACTTTCTCTTTGTTTTTCCTCACCCTGTATGTACTTTCTCTTTGTTTTTACTCACCCTGCATGTACTTTCTCTTTGTTCCAGGCACGGAGAGACCAGTTCGCCCTGGGGGAGAAGTCACGAACGTCCTCGACCTCCACAGACAACGACCTTGACCCCGACCCGAGTCAGCTGGACGTGGGCGGGCCCCGAGAGAGGGTAATCAGTCAGCTTAGCTATCACAACAGTCCCGACGCCGAGACTGTAACCCATGGCAACCGAACACACATCCGGGTACCGATTTTCTTAGCGTGCAGTGCATGCCGGGAGGCCGTTGCGGCGGAGAGCCTTTAACCCTTTCTTACTGCCTCGTGACAGTTTGCCTTAACATGTGCACAGTTTAATTAACCCTTTGGTCACCACAATGGAGGAGCCTTGTGCCTGTGGTTTTGTGATTATTTGGTTTTTTTGAAATTTTTTGTTCATTTTTTTGTTTTTGTTTTTGTTTTTGTTTTTTTTTGTTGTTTTTGATCATTTTTTGATTTTTTAAAATCGATTTTTCCTTGATTTGAAGAAAAAAATTCAAATCTTTTCAGTACTTTTAATTTGTGTGTGTGTGAATTTGGATGATTTGGTTTTGTTTGCTCATACTGTTTTCTTCAAACCTACAGTTTTACTTCTAGTACCAATGGTCTGTCGTCGTCATCATCATCATCATCATCATCATCATCATCATCATCATCATCATCATCATC